AAAAATACAGGTGAAGCAGAGGGTAGATTAAGTGATTTGCCCAAAGTAATGCCCTGGGACTGCAAGTGCCCTCCCAACATTTCTGATGAGAACTAGGGAACAGCTAAAATAAGATTCTGGCTGTTGCCCCATGGTTTTCACTTAGTCTAATACAGACTGAGCTGGGAGGTGGGGAGTACAGTTCCTGTGGTGTGGCTGCCCTGTGTGATACAGATGTGATCAGTAAAGCTCAAAGCAAATGTAACACTCCTGAAAGGAAATACTTTTGGACAGTTAAAATTACCCATGACACTTGCTGCTCTGGGGTCTGCTGGAGGCCAAATGATGCCTTCATGTAAAGATTTTCTCCTAGACAGTCATCCACCCATATGAGAATGGAAAGGGGCAGACTCAAGGGAGAGCCCAGTATGCTGGATGATGTCTTGGTGATCCAGAAAACGGTGCTCTTTCTTCTGCATTCACGCTGATCTCACATTCTACAATGAGAACTCACACATCCTCTCCAAAGAGGCCACCCAAAGAGGGAGCATGTCCTACTCCTGCCTCACCCATCTTCTAAAAGGCATCGAGTTCAGGGTGTTACCTTGCAACGATCACCCTTAAGCTTCTTGCCGCTAGTTAACAAAGACCTGTGTGCACTCTCCACCGGGGCTGTTCCAGAGAAGCCCACATGCAGCTGTGCAGAGCCTTACACTGAATCACATGCTGTGGGGGGAATTTGGCAACTGTTTGTTCTGGTGTGGTGCAGCTGAGCCTAGTTCTGCTATGCCAGGAACCTTGCCTTTTGGCTTCAAGGTGAACAGTCACTTCCCTGTTTGCATGTGAGTGGGAGGTTCTGTGGGGTGGCTTTTAGTGCACAGCTGGATTTCCCTGTGGAATCCCCCCTTCCATGCACTTAGATGCAGTCCAGGATCCCCCCTGCCTCTTGGAAGCAGGGTTTGATAAGGCCAATCCAGGGCTGGTGGTAGGAAAAGACCGTGTTACAAGGAAAACTGCAGTGTCCAAGGGGATCCAGAGCAAAGTGCCTGCTGTAAGCAAAGGACCTACTCATCAGCACCTCTGAGAACCAGGCTCTGGCTGCCATGTTAGGATGGCCTGCACTGAGAGATCACATCTGCTTGCATATTGGTACGACAAGCTCACATCAGGGGGCACATCCTGGCAATGGTGCTATTGTAAAACAGCCTCACAAAACCTCACTGGCAACATCAGAACCAAGGAGGCTAGAGGAGGGTCAGGGGACAGATCCATGAAAAGTGGAACAGGGCTCTAAACAGCAGCTGGGGTGATAGCTCCAGGGAAATGGAGTCATGGGTGGGAACGGCTCAATACTCAGTCAGGAGGCATCCCTTTGTAGCAGCCACTCTGGCAATGTAAAGGGACCTAAAAAATAGGCAGAGATGGCTCCCTGAGCATACCCAGGGAGTCTGCCCAGCCAGCATAGGGCACGCATAAAGAACCAGCACCAACTCTTGGGACAGCAAGGGGCTAAGGAGCATGGGCAGTGAACATGACCCTGTGGCTG